AGGAATGACCAGGGAGAAGAAATACACTCAATTTGAAGGCAAGAAACACAATCTTTGGCTTGATTTCACAAGGATTCAAGAATGAATTGAAGATTACACAAAAAATGAAGGATTATCATACGGGTGTATTCTTTATATCTTTTAATTTCGTTTTAATTCTTGATTCTGTAATTATGATCATAGGCTAGGGTTTTTATTCATTAGGAAATCGATGAACCTTTGATTATTTAATTTCCTTTATTTCATAAATTCAATATAAAATTTCAGTTGGACAATTGTTTGATTTATATGATTTGATTGCTTCCATATTTATTGGCCATATGTTATGTGAGTTTAGATGATTTATTCTTTGCATTCGAAAGAATGGGAATAGATTCGATATAATATAAATTAACATAGGGTTCGATAGGGGATAGAAATATACCCCTATACTTTATGCAATTCATAAGGTGTTCATAAAAATTCATGCATTCTTGTATATTTGCATCATCCATAGAAATATAGGCTGGTGGTGTGCAAGAGTAGATTCAGTATATATCGAGAGAGTATATTGGATAGGTTTAGGAACATTGAATTGGCATTTTTCCATCGATTCGTTGAATTTGTGAAATTAGGGTTTTTAATAGTCAATTGGGGATTCAAGATCCTAATGATTGCATTTCAATTTATTTCTATACATTAACTTCCAAAAATTGCGTGTTTACATTTTAATTGAGTTTTTGAGTCATTCAATTAGTGAAATTTCGAAATTAGGGTTTCCAATTTCGAAATTAGGGTTTTCTTTAAAAATTAGGGTTTCAAATTGGGGATTTCTCCCACAATTAGGGGTTTTCACATTTAAACCCAAATTTCATTCAATTAGATTCGGTTACGGTCACATTAGTCTAATTAGAGCTAATTCAATCCTCGTGGGAACGATACTTGGACTCATAGTCCATTTTACTACTTGTTAACGAACCGTACACTTGCGGTGGGTTTTAAAATTGAAAGAAAATTTTTGTGAACAGGTACCATCTGTGAGAAAGACTTGAAACCAGACTAAAACTCCTTCTAAACCCTATTTCATAGTGCTCCTTCATACTATTCGATAAATTGCTTTGATGAGGTCTACGAACTGTCAAAGAAAGTGTTCGTATTCTCACTACGTTGTGTTTTAAACATCCCAGCCCAAAAAGTTGTTTTGAAGTAGCAAGGAACCCAACACCCTCCATTCTCTCATAGTCCCAACAACCAATCATTTTCATGCAAGTAGAACATATCAATCATTACTCTCCAACCTTCTTCAAATTATTCCATAAACTGTGAATCATATACCACTCCGTAAATAGTCGAAAATATTGAACCCTTATCCAACGTGATATCTAAACTTTTTAGGTAATTTCTTCAAAATATACCATAAACTCCATCTATGCTTCATATGTGAAAAAACAATCTGAATTGCATTTTGCATGATCCTATCTTGATCCGTAATTATTCTTTGCAGAGCTTTACCATGCATGTATTGAATCCATGTCCTGAACAACCACATAAAGGTATTGGTGTCCTCATTCGATATCAAACTACAACCAAGTAGTATTGATTGACCGTGATGGTTCACGTCAACTAAAGGGCAAAAGGCATGTCGTACTTATTGGTAAGGTAAGTTGTATCAAATATGACATCCCTAAACTCCTTGTACGCTTGCCTATACTTGTAATCCATCCAAAACACATTCTTTAGCCGTTATTCGTTGTCCAAATCCATACTGAAGAATAAGCCCCATCATCTTGCTTGCATTTCTGAAAAGTAGGACTATGTTGATGCGGCATCTCCTTCTCCAAGTTTTAGTTGCCGCAATTGTTCAAATAGTTCCAACAATCATTTCCACGCACGTCATGTTCTCATACCCACATGCTTAAACAACTATATAGTTATAACTTTTGTTCAACGGAATTCTTGTCATATCATTAACTTCAAGCTTCTGCTTCAATGTGCACTCAATTTTCTATTGCAGCGATACAATCTGAATTTCGAAGGACTTATTTTATGATTGTGCTCGAGGTGGACCGTGTTAATTTTTCAAGTACCAAGTATATCGGAAGATGCAGAGGTCTTGGATTTACAACCTGTCTAAATTATTGGTTGCGACTTCAAAGAACATCTTGTATTACCACTTTGCCAGACTTCACAATTACATGTCAATGTCGTATATCTCAAAGCCCCATCATCATCCTTTTTCAAATTCTGTTTCGGAACTGGACAACAAATGGCATAACCATAACTTTTGTAAAAGTCAAAGACCTTTTTTTTTTTTCTTTTGAATTCCATATCCACTTTAGGCACAATCGTATCATCTCCTTCAAAATTTTCATCTTCCACTATTATCATATTGTCATACACATTTTCATTATCGAATTCCACCAACAAATCATCTTACACATCGTCCATAATTTCTGCTTTTGTGACAAAATAAGCCATCGTATTTAGCAATACACAAACACTCTACAAATTTAAATGGATGCAAAATAATCATTTGAACATAGCATCATTGGAGTGGAGCAATCAAAATTATTTTTCATTCATTGTTGAATTTGTATAATGTTTAGTTTCTATCACACATTCATTTTTTCATGCCTAAAAAAAAAAAAAAAAAAAACCCATAAAACCCCCCAAAAATAAAAAAGGGGGAAAAAAAAAATATGATTTTTTATATATATATTTTTTTACATATTCTCCAAACTCGGCTACAATCTAGAATTTCTGCAAATTTAAAAAAAAAAAAAAAAAAGTTCAAATACCTTCCTATGTAAAAGACCCTATTGGTGCTCCGTTTGGCTCAAGAAATTCAACATTCATAGTGGCCGGTGTGAGGAGACATATGAAATGGACCCGGTTGGCGCCCCGAAATTTGTTGACCACAGTTGTCGACATGCGCAGTTGCCAACATGAGAGTTAGGATCGAGATTTCACCATTGGTACAAGTATTTGTGAAAAGGGGCAACAGTAGTCTGTAGCATGTATTGACTATTGAAGTGGGTTTTGTGCTTCCCAATTTTCATTTCCCTTCGTTTTACACTTACATTTCAAAGTTAAAAGTTCCAATAGTCATTGAATTTATGTTTATATCTTTGATTGATCACTGAAATTTAAAATGTCAAATTTTAATCACTGAACTTAAGTCAATTTCTTCGATTGCTCACTGAACTTATGTTCATATCTTAAATTGCTCACTGAAATTTAAAATGTCGAGTTTAGGCCACTAAAGTTTGTAATATGCCGTACGTTACTCACTAGCATAAGTGTTGAACTTTGAAAAATATCAAGTTTACAGTAAGTAATGTACAACATTTTTCAAAGTTCAGTGATCAAAACTCGATATTTTAAACTTCAGTAAGAAAATGAAGACATGGACCTAAATTCAGTGATCAAAACTCGACATTTTAAACTTCAGTAAGCAATCAAAGACATAGACCTAAATTCAGTGACCATTGGAACAATTAACTCTACATTTCACCTTCTTTTTTCTTTTTTTTGACATGTCAGCATTTTCAAATTTCGGTTATGTACATGATCAACATTTGATTGTACAATGAGCACTATTCTTGTGCTAAACTAAACTTTGTTGAGAATAATGTTTTCAAATAACATTGTTATTTCAAAGATACTAGAAACTACTGAAACAAAACATCATTTCATGGTCACCGCACCATCTTCGAATAGGCCAGGCACGAGAAGCTTGGCAAATGGCAACCCAGGGCAATGAAGTCAGCCCATGGACATCCATAGTAAATAGGATAGAATGCAAATTCAGACATATTTCTCACAATGAAACTGATAACTGTGCATGCAACAGACTTTAACTCTACCCCTGATAACAAAATTTATACGAAAAACTAGCCAAGGACAAAAGCAAGAATTCGAACACAAAACGAGCTGTATTATTTATAGGTGGAGGATTAAATATCCATCCAACATCCAATATCCTCAACTGTTAAACACCATATTCATTAACAGATCATTCCAAGAATCAATCGGGCCGGGCAAACACCAATGCAGACAGTCATTTATTGTTTTCGCATTCTTATCTTTAGCAAATGGTTGAAAAAATCTATATGGACCTGGGTGTCCGTCTGGTCTCAATAATGAAAGAGGAGATACATCAAAAAGTTTAAGGTCTACCAAGTTTGCAGAAGCTTTAGCAGATGCCTTCTCAAATTCCTCTAATTCGACTTCACGGAGGACTCTGTTCACATCACTTAACCCAAACTCACCTTCCTTTGCTGGTCCTGTTCTTCTACATGACCCACCACTGAACCACTCTCCATTCTCAAAGTGGTCGGGTGTGGAGGTCCTGAAAAAGATCATGCCTTTGTGGTTCGATCTGGTAATGTAATTAAAAACATTGTGGAGGACTTTTTGATAAGCAAATTTGAACCCGAGTTCTATGAAGTTCCTCTCAGGACAGTTGTGGCAACCTAGTACCTTGTTGTTCTCATAGTAGATTGCATTTTTGACGAACCATTTACCACTAGAAATTATCATGTAATCAAAGCTCTGATACTGTTTAGTCCAATTCGTGTCAAGAATGTCGAGATGTAGTTCAATCTCAGATGTTGAAACACCGTTCACATCTTCAAAAATGGCGGCTTTTGCAAGGAGAGGAGACCAAATAACCGATATGGTGAAGTTGTACGTGGGGAAAGTCCATCTTCTCGATTTGTATCCCTCGTCATGGTAAACTTCAACTGCCTTTTCTATCTGCAGGCAAAATAGCTTAATGTCAAGGGCACATGACTTCGGAATAATATTTTTGATTGCAATAGAACATGTTATTGGAATTTAAATTACTGTGAATTCAGTCAGGCACAAGACAAAATGCTAGAAAAATCAGATGAATTACAAAGTAAACAACACAATGCTCAAAATAGGAAAAGTTCTAAAAATCCTACTACTTTTTAATGTTCCCTTTGAGAATATACACGAAAAAATATCACTGAGTATCCTTGTCAATTGAGGCACTTGAAGTGAAATAAAGGGAAGTGAATAAAGTTCTGTTCAAGATTGACCAAGTCCAGAGAAAACGAGCTCACGTCTTAAGATATGATAATGGAACAATTTCAAGAATAATTAAAGGCTAAAAAATTCTAACTATATTATATTCTACATGTAAATTTCAAAAACAATCCTGGAATTTGATTATTCATTTTTTATTTCATTTGGAGCGTAGGCAATTTCTGCTAAACCCAAATCAGAAAATTCTTTGCCCTCTGCCAGAAATCAATTGCTCTGAATTTGATGCTCGCACCCCGAAAAGTACAAGGTAAGCCAGAGAAGTTCAACCAACGAAAATTTCACTTCAAACTGTATATAACAAAAATGTATCAAGAGAAACACAGCAGAAAGTAACTTTCTGCATTATCTACACTCATGTTGTTGCCTTGAAGCAAATACATAGCATTTGCAAAATTATCAAGACAAGAGAGTGAATCGATGACAGAAACGTCTTTTCCAATTTTACCGTGGAAAGAATGCATATCAATGACTGGATATGATTTCGTGATATTGAATCACCAATCAGTGCCCAACTCTTATTCCTCATCGACTCAAGAAACCTATCTGGATCAAATTGAGCCAACTTGCAACCACGGGGATTCCACTTCCAATGGAGATAACCGGTGTCTGGCCGCCCGTTCTTCATACAATTCTGGTGGGCATCGATGAAGCTGCAACTCTCATTTGTGTAGATGGGTTCTCCCTGATAAGGAATCCAATCCCCAATAAAAATATTACACTTTCCAGCATCATCTGTAGTATATGAATAAACAACTTTTAATCCGTAACCAAATTCACAATCTTATAGTGTCATCTTAATATGACAAACACCACCTAACAATGTATATTCACAAACCAAGAACTACAAAATCATCCCTTGCAGGGTTGACAGAGGGATCATACCCTTTGAGCGGTTTAGTACAGCAGCGGATCAATCTATGATTGTTAGCAAGATAACCAAAACAAGCCAATGAACATATCTAAGAAGAACAATAACCCATATAAACTTATATACTGCATTCAACAAAAGTAGAAATTCTTATCTGAAATGAAGACTAATTTCATTACTATAACCATGATAATCACATGGTGTTTGGGGCACCTTTATAAAAAATTTAGCATGAAATTAGAATATATAATAATACTAGTTATCGTCTAAAACCATCTCTGATAAATGTATTATACACTAGTTATCTTATTTGGTCTGAAATCATCTCCACCCCCCGCTTTATGTTATAGCACAAATAACATTTTTTTTCGACTAAAAAAATAAAAGAATATTCTCCACCATAATTCACCATTTACCTAATATTGTCCATTCAGAGCACCAAATCACTGTACAACTTACTGCATAATGTCATGAACAGTGTGCTTAAAAGCTGAAAAGAAGTGACCTGAGCCAAACGCGCTCTAAGTCAAATTAGCCAATACAAAACTTATTTCACTTTCTTCACAGATATCAAACTACTATAAAATCGCCATTACAGTAACCTCTTGTTCATCAATATTTTGCCACCTCACTTGAATTCTCACAAATACATGATATTATGATAACCAATTAAAATTAAGGAAAATAGAGGGAATTAGAAAGCAAAAATAGCTGACCTTTTGGAGGAAATCCAACCGTATTTTCTTTAGAAATTAGAGGACTAACAGGGGGTGGTGAAATCTGGGCATTATCAAGAAATGGGGTGTCGGAAATAGGAGAAAACTCAGTGGATCGAGTGTAGAGAAGCCTAAATGCAAGACCCACCAAAAGAATTGCAACACCTAATTTGATTATAAAGTATTTGTGGTTGTGAAGAGATCTCCACCGACAATTATAAAGCATTTTCTTCACCATTTTCCACTCTCATCTTTCAGTTTTAAGCTTTTCTCACTCTCTCCCATAGTCCCATTCAATCGTTACTCAGGCGCTGGCAGTCGGTAAGCTTTGCTTCGAAGATTTATAGACAGAAAATTGCATATTGGTCCCTGACATATTGCCTAATAAGTTAATTAATGCTCAACCTCTAAAATGTAATAAATTTGTCCCTAAACTTTCATTATTGTGTAATATTATCTACAATATGAGTCTAATTTATTCGCAGTCCAATCACTGTCACATTAATTAATGGAATTGAGACAATTTTTCATTCGTTGAACAAAGTAACAGTGGTTCGATTAGTTTCGATTATCAAAATCCGTCTAAATCTTCAATAAATTATAAAGTCCCACTTAATATATTTAGGTCAATTCAATAGCATCTTCAAAAAACTCGATAGAGATAATATATTGTTTATTTCAAAAATGTTGATCTTTAAAAGTTAGGCTCCTACACACTCTTTAGTTTATTTTTTTATTTTTTATGCATTTAGCCCTTTTTGATTTAGATAAAAATCAAAATTTTGGTAGATTTAAAAAAAAAAAAAACACTATGAAAATGTAAAATTGATAAATGTGAATTCTATAAAATACATGGTTGAAAATGAATTTCGGAAAATAAGGACTGAACAGGGTTAGTTATGCATTTAATGGAGAGTTGGATTCTTGTTTCATTGGAAATGGGTAGGCACATATAATAATGAATGAATCGGGATTAATTTGCACTTTTATAGATTTAATTAAAATATGTTATTTAGGCCATAAGTTGGGGATAACCGACAAGAGGTAAAAGAATCAAATTGCGCTGATTTCTAAGCAGTACTGTTTACGGAATGTTTAATCCCCCGTGAACACATTATTTCTTATTACATTAAATTAAATTTTTCTTTCTCCTATTTTTAACCACACAATTTTTAATAAAATAATATTACACATAAATCAAAAAAATTTCAATCACTCATTAAAAAAAAAATGTTATTCATCTCATTATAATGTCAAATAATGGGGCTCAAACACATCCTAAAGTAGTTAGAGAAAGGATGACACTACACGTATATTATGGTGTCCACCCTCCTAACGTTTGTTTATTTTGTGAGTATGCACATACATTACGGTGTTCATGAGAGGAAGGTGAACACCATTATAAACACTGTATTATGTACAAGTTGCATATTATTCAGAGAAATCGTTTGGGCCATTGGCGGATCCAGCACCCGCGACAGCGCGTGCTGGATTAGCCGACAGCCATTTTTTTTGGTTGAGAATAGATGAAGTTTTTAGGTTATATTTCTGATAATCATTTTCCATTCAACCACTCCCTTTGGCCAAGTTGGTCAGTGTCGATTTTTACTTCATGCAAGTCCTAGGTTCAATCCCTCATCAATCAACTTTTATTGTTCAATTTTTTTAGTTTTACAATTTTTACCAAAAATTAATGGAATGAGGAGGAGGGAATTCGAACCTGGAGCTATTGTTAAAATTATTTATAGTTTGACCATTATGCCGATTGTTGAATTTTGATAATAAGTTTAACAAATTTATATATATTAGATCTTAGCTTGTTTTAATGCAACAATACAAATTTGAACTCGTGCTCTTCTTTTGAATTATATAAAATTTGGCAACAATGTCATTTGATGAATATAGTTTATTGTTTTAACAAAATTATATATGTTGAATTTTAACAAAATAATTGTTATGTTTAAATTTTAGGTCTTGCTTGATTCCCATTTATTTTAGAATATATTTTTCTCTTTTTTATTTTCAATCATATATTTTTTAATAAAATAATATTACAAGAAATTTAAAATTTTTCCTTATTTTTAACCACATATTTTTCATCAAATCACTATTTTCCAAAATGTATTTTTTGCCAAAAAAAATTACATCAAACGAGCTTGTAATATTTTATTGGGTTGACGGTAAGCCTTCAACGATCGTCCATACTAACTCAAAATTCTAGATCCGCCACTGGTTTGGGCGCAATTATCGTGGGGAAAATATAGTCTTCCATTCCATCACATCACATGGCCAACCATGTGAAAGCTAATCCAAATGGTATCATGCATATATAGTAAACTTCCAATTTTACCCTTGTCTTGAAATGTCAACATGAATTATTCCAAACAAAAGCCATACATTTTCTACTTTTCCAAGTTCACTTCGACAGATGGTTGTCAATTCTGTGTCCGAAACTAGGAATAAAGAAAGAGTTTTGTACTGTGCAATGATTAAAAATTATCTAAAAATGAGATGAAAATGAGCTCCAAATCGCACTGATTTAGATGATGAAAGAGTAATTGGCACAATACTTCTCAGCTTTTGCATATTTTGCAAAATACTCCCTATCCGTCTATTTTGGTACAAAATCTCCCTAAATGACCTGAACGTTGCAAAAAAATCTCCTTTCCGTCTACATCTATTAAGTTCTTTGTTAAAATGATTTTTTAAGGTCAAGATTAATAAAAACATCGAAGACATTTTTATTTCTTCATCTCCACACTCAGATTATCGGAAACAAGTTCTTGAGTTGGTTTCATTTTGGAACATGAAAATGGAAGAAATTTGAAACAGAAGCTTGTTTGGTATGGCTAAAAAGTCAATTAAAATCAACTTTTTCACCGTTATTTCACTATTACAGTCGTCATTTTTAATTCTTCTCTCACGAATAAGACTCACTTTATCTCTAACAATCAAAAAATAAATTATCAAAATCTCTACCAAACAAACACTAATTGGGTTTGATTTTAGAGAGAGAAATTGTTTTTTTTTTTTAATTTCATTTCCCTATTTTAATGATAGTGAAATTGGTATGCCTGATTGATTGATTTCAACCAGAGATGGAGAGGGGTAAAATTTCATCGACCGAGCTGGGCGTACAGACCCAACTCCTTACAGACTCTTTACAGGGTCTCACATGGGGTGGGATTAAGATTTTTTTATTCATTTTTTATTGCCTCGAGCCCGCATGGGGCCAACCCATGAGAAAGAAGGGTCTGTAAGATCCCTGTGAAATGAAGTCCTGTACACATGACTTTATTCTATTTTCATTAATTCATTTCCCTATTTACCCATTTCCAATTTAGTTATGTGTTTGTTTGAAATAGGGATGTGTAGATAAGAAGAACAAAAGTTCAAATCTTCATGTGCAAATCAACTCTAGAATTGGTAAATGCTGAGGAATGGAATCCTCGATTTGATTAACTTTGCGGAGTACAACCATGGAATAACTAAATATATAAAGATGATGAGACAAAAATGAATGCCTTCGATGTTTTTATTGATTTTGGCCTTTAAAATTCATTTTAACGGGGAATACGATAGGGAGTATTCTGCAATGTTTGGACCATCGAGTGAGGTTTTGCACCAAAATAAAAGGATATGGGATATTTCACAAAACAAGCAAATGTTGTGCCAACTACGCTTGATAGGATTATAATAACTTTTAGTCAAACGTATTTTTAATCTAGACATTTTACAGGAATCAACAATTATTATTTAGCTCCCGTTTGATTTAACTAAGAAATAAATTTAAAGTCTAAGTCAAAATTAATAACTAATTTCATCACATATTTTATGAAATTCACAAAATTTTAACTACACATTCCATCATCATTTTAACAAAATTTATTAAAAATTTTATTTTTATTTAGGCCCTGTTTGGTGCAGATTATTGGTTGAAAAGAATGAATTTTCCTATCGTTGTGGCCGTAATTTTTGACCGACTCTTTCTTTGGTGGGACTCGCAGTTGGACCCAACGGTAAAAAAATGACTGAAAATCCATTGAAAAATCACAGCCAAACAATGCCTTAAATCAAATAAGGGTTTACTTATCATCCACTTGTTTCATAAGACACATATTTTATAGTCACTTTAGTTTTAATTTATACGCTTACCAAACATTGACTAATATTTGCAAAGTCTATAAGTATTCACCTTAAGATATTAAATAATGTGTCGAAAATAATATAATGATCGATATTAATGCAATTTCTTTAATCTAAAAAATAACTACTATTCATTATCGGTTGATGGGTTAAGATCATGAAATAATTAATTTGCCCATGACGTGAAGTTTAGTTGATGGGTCATGAAAATAAATATTAAATTGTTAAAACAAATTATTAGTAATTAGTAAAATATAAAAGAAATAAATGATCATATACAATACATATCTAACTAATCGAAAGCAAAAGGCAATCTACCCAAAAAAAAAAAAAAAGAGTCAATAATTCGAATGTTGCGAGGACAAAATAAAAAATAATTGTCAATAATTAAGAGTATATCTTTAACGTCTCGAAATATTCTACCATAATTAAAGCAGCCAAACCAACTATCAGATAGCTCTAGACAATTCTTTCATCAGATCGTAAATTAGAGTCGCGTTTGATTTTACACCAAAAAAAAAAAAAAAAAGAGTCAATAATTCGAATGTTGCGTGGACAAAATAAAAAATAATTGTCAATAATTAAGAGTATATCTTTAACGTCTCGAAATATTCGACCATAATTAAAGCAGCCAAACCAACTATCAGATAGCTCTAGACAATTCTTTCATCAGATCGTAAATTAGAGTCGCGTTTGATTTTACAATAATACATAGGTTGATCAATGCATCCAATTGAAGTTGAATTTTGTTCAATATCTATGGATTGAAACATCAATTCACCTACTTCAGTATGAGGGGTGAGAAGAGAGTCATCTATTCAATCTAAACTTACAAAAAAAAATTTGTAGATTCACTTTTATATATTAGAATGAGAATTTCATTTTAAGATTTTTACATAATACATTTGACTTTTAAAAACTTTCATTTAGATTAAAAAACTAGTGGAGAGTTCTTATATAGGAGGTAGAGGATCAAACTTTACCATCCAATGTAATAAGAAATATTTTAAATCGCCTCAATTAAATAAATAAATAATCAAAATACAAAAAATATATGTATAATATTTAAGTATTCATTGATTAACAAAAAAAGAAATATCTAATGTTCAATATTATAAATATGTTAGACCTTTAAAAAGTAAACAACAAATCAATATATTTAAAATATATTATAATCTTTTTAGTAAAAACTTATAATATTTAATTACAAATTGATCTTTCCATAAAATTGGATTAAAAAAAAAAAAGAACAGAGAAAAAATGCAATAAAGAAAAAGAAAAAGAAAAAGAAAAAGAAAAAGAAGAAGAAATCTATATAACCCCTCCACATAAAATAAATAAGAAGGCCCCCACCCCTTTTTAATCTTCACAACATTAATATCAATGAGCAATAAAGCTCCTGTTTGGGTCACATTAAAACGAATTATAAATTTTAAAATAGTGTTTTTATTTTGAAAAATGTGTGATTGAAAAAGAAAAAATGATTTTTGATTTATGTGTAATATTATTTCATTGGAGAATGTAAGGTTAAAAAGAAGAGAAAAATGTATTATAAATTTAATGGGGCTCAAACAGTTGCAAAATTAAAGGGTGCGTGTACCAATTTAGGTGATCGTGAATGTTTTTAAGAATAATGCTATTTAATATCAATAATGTTAAACCATTAATTTAGGTGGTCATGCTTGATATATTTAATTTAATATATCATACGACATTACATTTAAGTAAATCTTTCATTTAATATCATGCAATTGCTACTTAAATTGATGCTTGATACCAATAATGCTAAATGACATTACTCTTTTACTAATTTAATATCACATCATTATAGGTAACAATGGGTCTCATTGATTTATCAAAAATAGGTGGTAAGTTTATTGTCATAAAAATATAGGTGAAAATGGACCCCACTGATTTATTTTGACAACACAATAAATCAATCAGTCCATTGTAACTTATTTTGGTATTAAGCATCAGTGATGGTACGTAATATTGTTCATATAGGGATAAGGGCCCTGTCTGGTGTAGATTATTGGCTGAAAAGAATGGATTTTCCTATCGTCGTGGCCATAATTTTTGACTGACTCTTTCTTTAATGGGACCCACAGTTGGACTCAACAGTAAGAAAATGACTGAAAATCCATTGAAAAATCACAGCCAAACAATGCCTTAAATCAAATAAGGGTTTACTTATCATCCACTTGTTTCATAAGACACATATTTTATAGTCACTTTAGTTTTAATTTATACGCTTACCAAACATTGACTAATATTTGCAAAGTCTATAAGTATTCACCTTAAGATATTAAATAATGTGTCGAAAATAATATAATGATCGATATTAATGCAATTTCTTTAATCTAAAAAATAACTACTATTCATTATCGGTTGATGGGTTAAGATCATGAAATAATTAATTTGCCCATGACGTGAAGTTTAGTTGATGGGTCATGAAAATAAATATTAAATTGTTAAAACAAATTATTAGTAATTAGTAAAATATAAAAGAAATAAATGATCGTATACAATACATATCTAACTAATCGAAAGCAAAAGGCAATCTACCCAAAAAAAAAAAAAAAGAGTCAATAATTCGAATGTTGCGTGGACAAAATAAAAAATAATTGTCAATAATTAAGAGTATATCTTTAACGTCTCGAAATATTCTACCATAATTAAAGCAGCCAAACCAACTATCAGATAGCTCTAGACAATTCTTTCATCAGATCGTAAATTAGAGTCGCGTTTGATTTTACAATAATACATAGGTTGATCAATGCATCCAATTGAAGTTGAATTTTGTTCAATTTCTATGGATTGAAACATCAATTCACCTACTTCAGTATGAGGGGTGAGAAGAGAGTCATCTATTCAATCTAAACTTATAAAAAAAATTTTGTAGATTCACTTTTATATATTTGAATGAGAATTTCATTTTAAGATTTTTACATAATTCATTTGACTTTTAAAAACTTTCATTTAGATTAAAAAACTAGTGGAGAGTTCTTATATAGGGGGTAGAGGATCAAACTTTACCATCCAATGTAATAAGAAATATTTTAAATCGCCTCAATTAAATAAATAAATAATCAAAATACAAAAAATATATGTATAATATTTAAGTATTCATTGATTAACAAAAAAAGAAATATCTAATGTTCAATATTATAAATATGTTAGACCTTTAAAAAGTAAACAACAAATCAATATATTTAAAATATATTATAATCTTTTTAGTAAAAACTTATAATATTTAATTACAAATTGATCTTTCCATAAAATTGGATTAAAAAAAAAAAAGAACAGAGAAAAAATGCAATAAGAATTTTTTTTAACTACACTGATTTTTTTTTCCATAGAAAACAAAAAGAAACGATAAAAAAAATGAGGAAAGGAAATAATTTTTTAATTATGGTTCTAGGATTCGTAGAAAGGAAGGAAAAAAAAGAAATATTAAATAAAAATTTCTTTTGCAAAATCATCCTAAATACAGTGAACGAGAAACAAATTGAGATGTTTTATTTCTATAATTTCTTTTTAAAATGTATTCACATTTTAAATAACCCATAATTGAAAAAAAATAAAAAAAATCTTGATTCAATACCCCTGGACATTTTAAAAGTCTACATTAAATACCTCTCTCATATTTTAAGGAGTCTTTACATTTACTTCGAAAACTCTAAATATTTTATATCTCTAAAAGTCTTTAAAAGTATAAATTGAATAGACGTTTCATATACACACACTTGTAGGCCAGTACAAGCTTCTACAGTCGAACCCGACTCTTTATGGCCATAGAGGCTAGGCTAGGCAGGGCTGGGCCGGGCCGGGCATCCATACCAAGAGTCATGATTGGAGTACTTAGTATGGCACCAATCTCAGATGTTCGACTCATTTTAACATCTCTTCTAGCGATTAATTACAAACTTGTCGAGAATAAAGTTTACCTTAGATCTATGTCGAAAGACTTGTCTACGTTAGATCTCATCATTTGCATCAAAACCAAAACCAAAACCAAAACCAAATTAACAAGATCATGGGTTTTCATGCCATTGCACTTTCTCTAGCAAAGCAAAAACAATCAAAGTACTTGCTAACTGATGAATGATCCAAAACATGGAAACAACTATAAGAATGAAAATTTTCAAATACAGCAAGTAACAAACGAGTTTTCACAACATGTACCACTTTGCATAGAATGTAACCATCGAATCAAGTCCTCGGAAAATCAAGCACTTGCCTGAATATAATCATTCCTTCATCGAGCATCTGCAACTAGTGCTGCAATCGCGCAAGAAACCTGGGAACTTTCATACCAAATCCCCGCTTCTCTCTCTCGACCCTGTCCACATTTCAATAATCATTACTAAATGTGCGTAGAAATTGCTCGGTGGGAAAGAGTGCGTTGTGTATAGAATTGACATGAACCTGTTTGGCTGAGTACCTTGTTTGAAAAGTACGTGTCGAGACATATTTTTCAAAAAAGGTACTCAAAAGAATTGATATGAAAAGCTCAGCCAAACAACACAATGGATGTCAAGCAAAACTCATCTAAAAATTATGCCTAATGCTAGAGCAATGAATGCCAAAGTTAAGTAGAATTTCTAAAAAGAATAGAATAAAATAGCAAATTATCCGGAAGGACGCCGATTTTAAAAAACTAAAATTTGGACCAGGAATTAAAAAAATTCTAAAAATTTCTTGCTAACTTCTTGGTACTGTTATCCCAAACAAGACAGAAGTCAATAGTCAAATATTAACTACAGAAACTAGAGCCTAAACTGGGACTTGTACATTCTCATACCATTGACGAATTCTCAGAAAACGACATGCAAATATTACTAAAGTATATATTGGACTTAAACCTAATCATGGTATTAAGATCAATAGTGTTGCTATTCATATGTGATAAAATATAAGGATGCAGAAAGGAAAACCTGTTACCCTTGCAGGTAAATCTTACCCATATTTGTGCATTCGTTAAGGCTTAATTGTTAGTAAATAAATCAATAAGATATGAATTATATGCTACTATTTTCTTCATTGAATATAAAATACAGCAGAATGCCAAGTAAAATTTATGACAGAAAAGGAGAAAAACTTACGTCGGGGCAAGTTTGCCAAGGCCATCTAGTTCTTCACCGGTGTGCTCATCCACTACTTTCCCAGAAATTTCAACAATATAAGATCCATGTCTTGTGATAGGAAGACCTCTGCTAGCAAGTAAATCTAAATCTTTCTGGTGAAGTTCACGCCCATTTACAAAAACCCCCGTGTTTCCAGCACCACAATTTTCTGGCATAGGGTAATCGAATTCCTCAATATTTGGCTGCATGACATTAATCATTACTACATTTCCTTTCTTGAATAACACAAGATATAAAATAAAGTTCTTTTCAAGGAAAAGGGTATTATGCATCATATATTACTTGACTCACCATGATAATCCCAAGGCAAGGATGTCCCATCACACCCCAAAATCCAGCTTGAATGTCATACCTGGTTTATCATAGAATTTGCAAAAGCCTCCATTAGTGTCTCCGGTCAAAACAACAAGATCCCTGCCACTAATCATGAGAGTGCACAATATAGCTACAAAATTATTCTTTGATATCAGAAGACGTATTATTTAAGTGGAAAGAAAGAAGTGGGAGACGTAGAGAGAAGTGCGGTGAGGCGTGCAGTTGAAAAAGTAAACCAACATTAGTGTCTTCCTTTCAAATACTTCATTTTTTAGCATGCTGGATTTGAGCTATTTTTGTTGAAATCGTCTCCTTTCTTACCGGCAATAGAGGGGGAGAAAGGCTAAGAGATGGCGCAGTAGAATAGCAGAAGTTTTTTCTATTTTTTTTTTTTTTTAGCATGCTGGATTTGAGCTATTTTTGTTGAAATCTATAGCAGAAGGGTTCTTTTTTCTCTTTTGATAAATATATGGAAACAGGATTCACTACATAAATGATGAACTCAGAGATGCAAGTTTAGTCCATATAAAATGAGCCACAAACTTGTGTCTATGTACTCACCAGTACGCTCCAGGTTGAATGGGTCCAGCTAGCTTTTCAGCCTTCTTAACTAAACGATCTGGTATAAAATGCTCATTGACAAAAACCTGTGATCTTCCATCCTCTACATTTTGATTAGACTTTGAGAAGTCTCTGAAGCTCTTTTTGATGAGACCCACAAAGAACGACTCACCCCCTTTATTGATTCTTGGCTGATCTTCTTTATTTGTGTCCATTGAGTCCTGTGATACATAGCTATTTGAAAATTCATTCAATGATACATCCATCTCAGTTGCCACTGGTGCATCTTTTACAGAATTCTGTCGAGACGTAAGCTTATCAAGGCCAACCTTCTCCTTCTCGGACCGTTTACTTTTGTTACCCTTTTCATACCGACTGACCATATTATTAGCAGAAGAATGATCAGGACATTCCTGGCGAAGTGAATCAGGAACTGGGCAAGACCTGACTTCTTTAAAAGGCAACTCAGCAGCAGGAGAAACATCCTTTCTAGCATTTACAGTGTCCAGTCTCTGCTCACTCTCAGAGAAACTGGAAGATAGAGAAAGAGGGTCCTGCCGCTTCCCAGACTCGCTAGAATGTGACTTCTTGTCTCTTGGAGAGTACTTGGGTTCGGAGTCGTCATAAACATTAAAACAGGGGTCCATATCAACAGCATTTTCACCACAATTGCCATGCAAATAATTTAAATTTTCATCAAGTGTCCCAGTAGAACCATTGTCGGTCTCAATTTGAACTTGATCAATGTTTGGAAGAATTGAAATAATAATCCCATTGTTCCCAAGCTCAAACAAGATTATCGAAGAACAAGCTCCACATTTTATTTTCTGTTGGTTATTTACCATTGAGATGTGCTTTCTCTGCAGTTTCAGTAACTCAAAGCAGTTACAGCATATTATGAAAGGGGCACCCCCTGCAATGGGAAAGCATGTTCGTCCACTCCCATGAGCTACCACTGACTTTTTAGGACGGTGGTATATTAAACCGCCATTTTCTAAATCAGCATCATTTGAACTCATTGTTAGGGGCTGTCGAGAGTGCATTTGATGAGAATTGGACCCCTCAGATCTATAACCTTGGTGACGTTGCAAAACAGGATTCGGATAGTATAGAAGATTGGGGTCGTCTAGAGACCTTTGATGAATTTTTGGAGGCAAATGCCAGTTATTGTTAAAGCATTGCACACAAGAACATGCAGGCTGGTGAAAAAAGGTTTCATGTGGATGTGACGCGAAAAGGTTGCGATTGATATCCATGTAGTGACCTGGACGGTTCTCATGAGATGGCTGTTGCAAAAATTTAGATGGCAGCTGACTAGTAGGCCTACGGAGCATTTCTGGTTGATAAACATCACCATAACCCAAGAACTCGGGTGGGAAGTTCCTTTGAGGATACGAGTCTTGCATTGTTGAACCAAATTTATCCATGTGAGGAATGCGTCCACGATCGTAACTTGAATACAGGGTTTTCAAATCATTGGGACCAAGGGGTTGCTGATTAACACCATGCAAACTAGCCAAGCCATCTTGCACGTAATCAGCATGATGTCTACCATATGGATTGGGTGGAGTTGGAGGCATCCTTCTATCAGTACCAAGTCTATCATTAGGTTTTTCTGCTAAATCACAAGATCTAGTTAGTTGATCCTTCAATTCATCAAGTTTCCTTAGAAGCTCAGCTCGATCATTCTCTAAATTTTCAACTCTAGTAAGCCCATCCACATCATGATCCCGATATCTCATCCTCTCACCATATCTATAATAAGAGTCCATGTCATAGCTCGACGGTCTCTCACCACGATACAGAGAACTATCAAACCTCCCATGTGGGGCTACAATTCTGGCATTTGCTGAAGAAGCCACCGATTGATTTCTTTCCACGCCCCACGTGTCCAGAGCAGGCCTAGATCTCAATGATCTCATTGGAGGCCCAATTTCATCAAGCTCATTTTCACTATGAAAATTCGAATATACTGGCTTTTTCATGTCCATGCCACTCTCTTTACCCTGATTCCTATCATTAATCATACCCTCTGCAGAAGAGCTGTACTCATCATCAAAATAATCTGCTCTTCTAGTTCTTTCTCCTTCTTTTCTATTCGCAAGGAAATTGAATGGTACTTCCTTATTTTCTGTTCCTCTTTTGGGACTACCATTTAAAACCATTCCGTCGATATCATTTCTCTCATTTGCTCTATTATGTTCGATTCCCACACTACTTTCAACGCCCACCTCAGAAACATTAAGCATACTACCTTTCTCAGAAATTTCTACAACTTTCACATCATCAGATATCTCTGACAATCCATCTTCCATAAGCCCGTTCTCTTTAGCTGTATCATTAAACCAACCATAATTAACAATTAAAATTTTACAATTTCACAAGCATATCCACACACTCTAAGTTCAAACCTTACAAAAATTATGTTTTTGATTATCATTTTGAAATGTTCTGTTCATAAATGTGATTAATTACTTTCGGACCATCATATTTTACATGTTGAGTACATACACAATCATATCGTAATGTAATACAATATCCCCTTCTTTTTTAGCTTTACCATCAGAAGCTACCATAACAAGACTTCAAATTTCACTCAAGCCCACATACAATTTCTATTCAAACAATCATATGCTGGGAAAATTTTAATTTGTCCGGTAGGACTACATATGTAATTAATTGAGTTATCGTAAAGTTAAGTAAAAAATTAAAGTGATCTAACAAAGAATTAAAATGATGGGTTGAAGCCTAATGGCATCTAAATAAAGTGGGGGCCGAATTATATGTGCATAGACCATATTCCTTTAGAATTGTATTTCATAATAAACAAAATACATATGAAAACTATATATAAGATTATGGTCCCCAATTCATGCAACTTTTCATTCTATGTGTCATTCCATCAACAAAAAAATACAAGAGAAAGCATATTGTAGAACAGGGGTCCATATCAACAGCATTTTCACCACAATTGCCATGCAAATAATTTAAATTTTCATCAAGTGTCCCAGTAGAACCATTGTCGGTCTCAATTTGAACTTGATCAATGTTTGGAAGAATTGAAATAATAATCCCATTGTTCCCAAGCTCAAACAAGATTATCGAAGAACAAGCTCCACATTTTATTTTCTGTTGGTTATTTACCATTGAGATGTGCTTTCTCTGCAGTTTCAGTAACTCAAAGCAGTTACAGCATATTATGAAAGGGGCACCCCCTGCAATGGGAAAGCATGTTCGTCCACTCCCATGAGCTACCACTGACTTTTTAGGACGGTGGTATATTAAACCGCCATTTTCTAAATCAGCATCATTTGAACTCATTGTTAGGGGCTGTCGAGAGTGCATTTGATGAGAATTGGACCCCTCAGATCTATAACCTTGGTGACGTTGCAAAACAGGATTCGGATAGTATAGAAGATTGGGGTCGTCTAGAGACCTTTGATGAATTTTTGGAGGCAAATGCCAGTTATTGTTAAAGCATTGCACACAAGAACATGCAGGCTGGTGAAAAAAGGTTTCATGTGGATGTGACGCGAAAAGGTTGCGATTGATATCCATGTAGTGACCTGGACGGTTCTCATGAGATGGCTGTTGCAAAAATTTAGATGGCAGCTGACTAGTAGGCCTACGGAGCATTTCTGGTTGATAAACATCACCATAACCCAAGAACTCGGGTGGGAAGTTCCTTTGAGGATACGAGTCTTGCATTGTTGAACCAAATTTATCCATGTGAGGAATGCGTCCACGATCGTAACTTGAATACAGGGTTTTCAAATCATTGGGACCAAGGGGTTGCTGATTAACACCATGCAAACTAGCCAAGCCATCTTGCACGTAATCAGCATGATGTCTACCATATGGATTGGGTGGAGTTGGAGGCATCCTTCTATCAGTACCAAGTCTATCATTAGGTTTTTCTGCTAAATCACAAGATCTAGTTAGTTGATCCTTCAATTCATCAAGTTTCCTTAGAAGCTCAGCTCGATCATTCTCTAAATTTTCAACTCTAGTAAGCCCATCCACATCATGATCCCGATATCTCATCCTCTCACCATATCTATAATAAGAGTCCATGTCATAGCTCGACGGTCTCTCACCACGATACAGAGAACTATCAAACCTCCCATGTGGGGCTACAATTCTGGCATTTGCTGAAGAAGCCACCGATTGATTTCTTTCCACGCCCCACGTGTCCAGAGCAGGCCTAGATCTCAATGATCTCATTGGAGGCCCAATTTCATCAAGCTCATTTTCACTATGAAAATTCGAATATACTGGCTTTTTCATGTCCATGCCACTCTCTTTACCCTGATTCCTATCATTAATCATACCCTCTGCAGAAGAGCTGTACTCATCATCAAAATAATCTGCTCTTCTAGTTCTTTCTCCTTCTTTTCTATTCGCAAGGAAATTGAATGGTACTTCCTTATTTTCTGTTCCTCTTTTGGGACTACCATTTAAAACCATTCCGTCGATATCATTTCTCTCATTTGCTCTATTATGTTCGATTCCCACACTACTTTCAACGCCCACCTCAGAAACATTAAGCATACTACCTTTCTCAGAAATTTCTACAACTTTCGCATCATCAGATATCTCTGATAATCCATCTTCCATAAGCCCGTTCTCTTTAGCTGTATCATTAAACCAACCATAATTAACAATTAAAATTTTACAATTTCACAAGCATATCCACACACTCTAAGTTCAAACCTTACAAAAATTATGTTTTTGATTATCATTTTGAAATGTTCTGTTCATAAATGTGATTAATTACTTTCGGACCATCATATTTTACATGTTGAGTACATACACAATCATATCGTAATGTAATACAATATCCCCTTCTTTTTTAGCTTTACCATCAGAAGCTACCATAACAAGACTTCAAATTTCACTCAAGCCCACATACAATTTCTATTCAAACAATCATATGCTGGGAAAATTTTAATTTGTCCGGTAGGACTACATATGTAATTAATTGAGTTATCGTAAAGTTAAGTAAAAAATTAAAGTGATCTAACAAAGAATTAAAATGATGGGTTGAAGCCTAATGGCATCTAAATAAAGTGGGGGCCGAATTATATGTGCATAGACCATATTCCTTTAGAATTGTATTTCATAATAAACAAAATACATATGAAAACTATATATAAGATTATGGTCCCCAATTCATGCAACTTTTCATTCTCTGTGTCATTCCATCAACAAAAAAATACAAGAGAAAGCATATTGTAGAGAAAGATCAAATAGCCACAATCAAGAATCTAGACTATAGATCAAAGAGCAAAATCAAAATCAATAACTCAAGAATCGAAGAGTTAATATTCAAGACTCAAGATCTCGAATCAAGATCCAGTAATAAAAATTCAATCCCAAAGAATTAAAGTATGTTCCGTATTATTAATTTACTTGGTGATTTGACATGGAGGATGTTGGCAATGTAGGAAAATTCAGGTTTTCAAGGTCCAAAGTTTCTAATTTTGTGAAGTTTAAGGTTTCAACATCATAACCATAAATCTTTCAGTTTTAACACCTCCAGAGATGATTGAACAAACACATACAATATCCAGCTTATTGGGAACATAGAATCTGCAATTAGAATTCTGTACATAACCATATGATATCTGTATGTTGTCTAATATACACGAAAAAACAGGGTAACATATGCATGTAACAAACAGTTCAAGGATTAAACCATAATTCTTCCGTTCTAGAGTAACATTAAATAGTAAGAAAAAAAAAAGCAGAAATGAGAAAATCACAGACATATTCACAAAGTGATTTGCGTTTATGTCCAGTCACTATTTTTAGTATAGAGAATAAGATGTGAATATCCTTGAAAATACATCTTCTACGTATATTATACCTTTGAGAACAGCACCGCAGCCACCACACTGGTAAAGAGAGTAATCTGGGAGCTCAGGGAGGAGATTTTCACACTTGGGGCAACGCACCAGCCTTACTTTTGCCGCTTCTGCCATTTTTCTGTTTCAAATACTTCACCAAAACTGAATCTTAATTTTTTAAAGATTATTTTAGCTATATTTTTTGCAGGCCACCAAGAATTAATCTACTAAACCGGAAACTTCAATAAGCAAAATCCCAAAAAGTCAACCCAAATCTTGAAGCCCACAAAACCCCAGATCATTTATGCAAACATTTCCCCAACCACAAATTAATAGATAAATAAAAATTGGACTTCCTTTATTTTATAAAGAAAATTATACAAATAATCAGTCAAATCAAGATGCGGGTTCTACTTCAAACAGAAGAATGCATCTGAAACTGCAAGATGCAAATGCAACAAAACATAACGGAACAAAATCCAAATTTTCTTTAAATTTGTTGGTTTCAAAGAAAAGAAAAAGAAAAAGCTGAAATTTTGGGGTTTCCAATAAAAGGGGAGATTTGGATTTGGAGGGAATATTAATTAGAACCCAATTCCCGACATTATTTTACTTTTTTGCAATGAATTTTCGCTTTCCGTTTGCACTTAATGCATAGTTTTAGGGTGGGGGGACAGGTTAAAAATGGCGTATTTGGTATGGAAATACAAATACGACGGCGTATTATACTTTCAGTAAAGCAACTTTGATAAAAGCAAAAGATAAGTGCAAGCTGTATTTTGACAAAGTCATTTTGAAGCAGTGAATGTCCTTATACACCTGACATGATTCATGTTTTTTGGTCAAAAACTTACCCACGAAAGAATCTTGTATTGTCCGTAGATAAAAACAAGAATTTCAAAAGTTGAAAATGAATTTTAAACCCCTTTTTGCTATCCATTCTTTTCTCATCAAAGTAAAAAAATATGACCATTATTCATTATATTAAATTACCACATTTGAATTTCTATCTCTTGTGTGAAACTCATTACGGCTATATTTTTCACTCTCATTTTTTAAAAAATGAGAAACAAACGCCAAGTAATTTTTGATAAAAATTATAATAAAAATTATCAATCACATAAAATGTGGATAAATGAATTTTAGTAAAAAATAAGAAACGAAAGTCGAATAGGAACTTAGTTTCCTTTCATTAGGGCATTTTTTTTAATAATTCTGTTTGAGCATGGCTACGTAGGCCCTCCTCCAACAGACAAGGCTCCGTATACGTGGTCCTATCTGTCCAACAAAGACATTTTTTTTTTTATGTAAGGAAAAAGTTAACATCGATGAAATTAGATGAGTTTTAAGATTAAAAATTATTAATTTTATTTGTCACTATTACCTAACATCGTCCCATTACCACCACTAATTGCACATTTCCCTACATCTCTAACGCAAATTTGCGCACACAATCGCCTGCACACCACAACATCCACTGCATCACCATCGCACGTAGATTTGTGCACCCAAATAATTGATTGCACATATAGGTACAAATCCAATATATGTGGCGACGACACTATCGAAAGAAGACGATGTTGTATTAGAGATTGATCATAGAGTCTAAAGAGAATATAATGGTAAAAAAATAGCTTAATTGACCGTACCAACTGAAAGGCTCACTGCTATGTTGATAATAGTCATTTTAGAGATAACAAATTGATTTTTCTTAAGAGCTCGTTTCAACCGAAACAATTAACACCTCAAATGGTGTCTATTCTTCAAGAGAGCATAATCAATCAAGAACCAATAAGATTATTATAAATACAAATTTTATAACAATAACAAGAGAATCTTGGTTTAAATGAAAACTATAGATCCATGAATGATTGAATCAAACACATTACAGATATATTCATTCCGAGATTTTTCAATTTCAGAACTAGAATTGAGAATTGAGAATCAAGAACTAGCTCAAACTAAGCAATTTTTATTTCTAGTACCCGAAATTTAAGTATAATTCGATCTGATAAAAGTTGGTGAAATAAGCCCAAAATGATCATTTCTACAACCTGTGAAGCTCAAAATTAGAGGTGTAGTTGATACTTTTAAAAAGTAGAGACTTTAATGAACTAATTTTTATAGACAGAAAATGAAACACCAAAATAAACGAAATTATACCTTAATGTTTTCGATAAATTGAGATTTTAACGGGAAATCGGAAATGGTTTGGTTCATTCATTAAAATGCATGATCGCCGGACTATTCAATTTCTTTAGGATTACCAATAAAACAAGCCATTTTAGTCACTGTTTTATTTAGCTAAAAATCATATTTTTATTAAATTTTGTCAAAAATTGATGAAACGTGTGATTTAAAAAATCATAAAATTTGATGGTCCCATAAAATGTATTGTTAAAATTAGAGCTGCTATATGTTCACTAGAGAGTACTTGTGGGTCCCTATCATGTTAGGAGGTTGTACGTTAGAGTGTACAACTCTAGTGTACAAATGGAATTAAGCCCCCGTTTAGCCCTCATTCTCATTTTCATTCTTTTTCTCTATCTTATTTTTAATCACACAATCTTCCATAAAATAATATTACACACAAATAAAAAAAATTCATTCTTTTTCAACCACACATTATTCAAAAAACACTATTTCAACCATTAAAAGTTGGCAATAATGGAAGCCAAACGGGACTAAATGAGGTTTAATGAATGATGGTCAAGCACAGGCTAAGAGCTTATTTGACACGACTTTTGAAATCAAAAGTAACTTTTGATTCATTTGATTTATTTTATGAAAGTATTTCTAATTTGAAGAGTTTTGAGGAAGTTGATTCATTTGACCTATTTTATGAAAGTATTTCTAATTTGAACAGTTTTGAGGAAGTTGATTCATTCTTTATTTGGTAAGGATTCAAATAAGATATTTAGTAGATTTTGATAATAGTTGATGAAATATATGGCTGAAAAGTTGTTGATAACATAAAATATATAGTTAAAATTAATCGTTGACTTTGATGTAGAATTTTAATCAATACCAAACAGAGCTTCAATGCTATTTCCTCTAAAAACACTTTCTAACTATGAAATTCTCATATAAGCCCCCGTTTGGCCCCTGCTACATCTCATCAAATTAAATTAAATTTTTCTCTCTCCTATTTTCAATAACACAATCTTTAATAAAATAATATTATACGTAAATCGAAAACATTTCATTCTTTTACGATCGTCCATTTTTCAAAAAAAAAAAAAAAATACGGTTCCCCCATTATAGTCAAAATTAATGGGGGCTAAATTGGTTTTTAAACAAAAAGTAAAGCACTATTTGGTACTTATTTAAATCAGATTTTAATTTAAGTCAAAGTTAAACAATCAATTTTAACCACATATTTCAAAAACTTTTATCAAAATCTATTAAAAATCTAATTTGAATTCCTATCAAATAGGGCTAAGTAAGCTCTTTTAAGAAATCCTTCTATGAAAAGTAAAAGCAAAAATATGACAACTGGGCCATAAATTATTGAAATAAATAGCATTAGTATTTGACAACAAGAAATCTATAATATGGATCATATCCAGAGATATATCTGTTAGTTAATGGCAAGTGACAAGAGGTGGTTAACATTGACAAACCTAAAATAAACTTTTTCGATATAAAAAAATGTTAATTAATTAAAAACCTAATTTCAACAAGAAAACCAATTTATATTTTGGCAAAAGTCAATTTAGTTGATTGTGGGACAAATACAAATTCCTTTTCTTTTAGACAATGACATTTTTATTTTTTTATTTTTTTAAAGAGCACTTGATATTAAGCATAAGTTGGTTTATAAATGACGTCTTTGTTGATAAAATTTAAACTAAAATAATAATTAATCGCGTAAACTAAGAAAATGAAAAGTCAAAAAAAGAAAAAATTAAATAAGATTTTACGATTTCTTCATGTGAGGTTTGTTCCTAGCGTAAGAATTCGATAATTTTATTCTTACATAACCTAACCGTAACCTAACCGTATTGAAAATGTCCATACTTCCTCGTAAATAATTGCAAAATGAACAAGTCATTCAAGAAAGTTTCAACATTATTGATGAGTCATTACATGATAAGCAAAATAAAAATGGTGACATGTATACAATTATTATATACATCTTTTACTAAATTCGAGATATTTACTTGTGATGTTGGTTAATTATGATCAATTATTATCAATCTCACTGTTCTTTCACTTGAAAGAAAAAAATAAATAAATATGTTATAATGATTAAAAGTCGGTTTAAAAGTATTTATAAACTATTTTATTTTATAAATTGTTAGAATGATTGGTGAATGATTCCTTGTTTGATTCTCATTATTTTTAAAATACATTTTTATCTCTATGTCTTTTCAATCACATTATTTAATAAGATAATATTACATGTAAATTCAAATTTTTTCTTATTTTTTAACAACATTATAAATCATTCTACTATTCCAGAATGCATTCTTCAATAAAAAAGGACTCAAATGGTAGTATTAATTTTTTTAAACATGAGCTAAATATAGGCTAAATGATTTATTACTTTATTTCTATTTAACTAACTCAATAAATAAATATCGATCAAGCAATATCATATATTAACTATATAAAAGTTCAATATTAGTTCAATTTAAGAAGTATGGACTTCGTGAGCTAGTTTCCTAACCCAATCTTGGGAAAACATGCAAGTTAGTAAAATTTATAGAATGTATAGATGAATAATGAATCACTATCACTTTGAGAATAGTTGTCATTCTACTAGTTCTATAAATACAAAGCGATCATTCAGTCACATAAATATACTTTTATCTATTATAAATTTATTGGATTACAACAAGTCTAATTCTTGACTAGGCCGATCACCATATTGAACTTGATTATCGACTTTTCTTTACGAGATAAGTAGACTTTTAATGAAAATGTCAATTATTGGAAAATTCAAGTCATTGCTACTCTAATATCATAGTAGTACTTATAATTCTTTTTTTCATTTAATGATACGCGTTTTGATTTAATTATGCAAAAACATTGTACTTTTGATTAATTACTTAGGAAAGTAAACGCAATTATAATAAATTAAATTAAAAACCCTCTATTTTGAACCTTTAACAAATTTTTTTTTTTCTTTTATTGAAATGGCTAAAGGTGCTTATTAAGAGGGTGTTTGGTAGGAATTTTTATGTGAAAATGCATTTTTGAATAGTCAATTGATGGGAAATGTGTGGTTAAAAAATAAGAAAAAGTTTTTGATTTACGTGTAATATTATTTTAATAAAGAATGTGTAGTTGAAAAGAAGAGAGAAAAAAATGCATTTTGATTAAAATGGGTGCCAAACAGGGCCTAAATTCAAGACCACAATATAGGTTTTTGTTAAAAATTGACCTATACTTAGCCCTTGTTTGAGCTCCATTTTGGGGGAAAATGCATTTTGAATAGTATATTAATGAAAAATGTGTGGTTAAAAAATAAGAAAATGTTTTGAATTTACGTGTAATATTATTTTATTGAAAAATGTGGAATTGAAATAATATTAAAATATTGTTTAAGAATGCATTTTTTTCCAGAAAAATGAGACTCAAACAAGGGCTTAATAATTTTAACTTGTAATTTAAATATAGAATATTTCTCTTAAGAAGGGAAAAAACACAAGATAAGAAGATATCATAAGAGAAACGAGTAAAAAGAAGGTAGTGTAACTTTTT